CGGCCTAGATACGTGTGTGTGTGTGGGGGGGGGGGCTGTGCACTGCGGGTGGGAGTGCAGGCTGGGGCGGGCCACCACGGAGAACAGGATGGAGGGTCCTCAGAAATGCGAAGCGCCACACGGTATCTCCAGAAATCCCACTTCTGGAACTGCGCCCAAAGGAGACGAGAGCTCAGCCAGACGGGCACCCGCAGCCCACGTCACGGCAGCACGAGCGACCACAGAAGCGCACACGGAACCGGCCGCAGCGCCCCACGGGCGGGCACACGCACACCGGGGCGCTGAGGCAGCCCGAGGCAGTGAGGACACCCGCCGCGTGTGACAACACGTGTGGGCCCCGAGGGCCCCGTGCTCGGTGAGGTGAGCGAGAGAGAGACGAGTGCTGAACGGCCGCCCTTACACGTGGGATCCAAACCCAGACCCACGGAGCAAGAGGCAAGCCCTGTCTCGGTCGTCAGAGGCAGCGGGGGCGGGGGGGGCCTGGGGGGAGGCAGTCCCGGGCACAGACGTTCGGCCGCAGGATAAACCCTGGGGACGCTGTGTGCCCCCTGGCCGCAGCTAACACGGCTGCGTGGCGTACTGGGGGGCTGCCGTGAGTAAATCCCGAGTGTTCACATCAGGAGGAAATGTTTCCTTTCTTTTCTTTGATCGCATCTGTACGAGAAGATGCGTGTGAGATGATCACCGATGTGGTCATCCCTTCACAGCGTCGCGGCCCGGGCCTCCCGCTCACATGGCGCTGTCCTCGAACTACTTCCCGGCAAAGCGGGACACAGTGCCCCAAGTAACGGGGGGAGAGCGGTTTTACATGCAGAAAAATGCACACCCCACAAGTAAAAGAAAGCAAATTAGGACGCACACCTAATAAATACTATGTCAAAACTTTTATTATTTATTTGTTTGTTTGTTTGTTGTAGAGAGAGGAAGGGAAGGAGAGAGGGAGAGAAACATCAGTGTGTGGCTGCCTCTCACACGCCCCTACTGGGGACCTGGCCTACAACCCAGGCACGTGTCCTGACTGGGAATCAAACCAGCGACCCTTTGCTTCGCAGTCTGACACTCAATCCACTGAGCCACACCAGCCAGGGCCCATTTCAAAACGTTTTAAAAAGGTGTTTGATGTATACATTAAGAAAAAACAAAAGAAACTACTTCGAAATGCTGACAGTGGTAATCTTGGATGGTAGATTTAAGCAGTTTCTTTTACTTTAAACTACTCTTTTAAAATTTCTCCTAATGACCCTGAATGATTGTGATAATCAGAAAAAACCTGCCGCATGTAACACTTCAGGGACTGTTTTTGTAGGTGCGCAGTGCACTCTGCCTCCACGTCAGGGACACTCCACTTTCCCCCGGAGAGACCGGAAAACGTGCTTTCAGCTGCGAAACGTCCCGGGGCGGCACCTGAAAATGCAGCTGCACCCCGACACTTCTGGACGCGCACACGGGGCTCGGGCAGTTCCAGGTCTGCGCGGGGAAACAACGGCAGGGGCGGGCTCCGGGCGGGGTGTCTCTCACGCGGCCCGCGGCCTGTGGCTCGGCTGCCCCCGACCCGCTCCTCACTGGAAGCCGGCGTCTACAGTCCGGCTTCAGGTCTGTTCGAATTAAGGCGTAGCCACGGCAAACTCTGTTTAAAAACTGTTTTCGCCATTCCTACCTCAAAATAACGAAGTGCCGCGTCCAGACGTGTGCAAAGGAGCACATCTGTCTGTGAGAAGACCTGCTCTGTGGTTCTGAGCTCACCCAGCCTGCGGAGGCGGCCGGGAGGCGGCCGGAGGCGGCCGGAGGTCGGGCGCCCGGCCCAGGGCCGTCTCTGCGACTCACCGGCCCTGGGCTGCAGGGCTGTCACGCAGCCTTCCTGGTCTCCCAGCCCCGCCCACCCAGTGAGGGTCAAATCACACTCTTAACCGTGGTTTCTACAAATTCTTTAAAAATAGTTCTGGGCTCAGATTCTACAATCTTCCCAAATACCTCCTATCCCTAACTTTCCACGGTAAGACACTGTCCTTGGATTAACCTTTATGGTCTCAACACTCCAAAAACTTAAATGTATAAAACTGCTCGCTTCAAGAGTACATCGTGTCTGTCTACAAACTGACACTGTGGCGGACGCCGTTTCACATCTCTCAGGAACTCCCCCACCGCCCATTCAAAGCCTCAGTTGACGCTGAAGATTGCCCAACGTGCATCACACACTGTCACACACACACACACACACACACACACACACACACACGGCACGTGGCTCATTGCGCAATAACCGCCGGGCTGCTCGGCAGCAGGCCCGCCCCGCCCCCCGCCGCGGCTCAGACCGTGGGAGACCCGGGGCCTCTCCGTAAACGTCGGGAACAAAGAGGACACTGCGTACATCAAGTGCCTCTACGTGAGATATTAGGTAAAATGAAGTTTCATTTCAGTTTTAAAACAGTAAGATTATGAATTTTTGGAGTGAAACTCTCTGTAAGTAAACTGCCTAATTTCAGAATAAACCAAATCTTATATATAAGTATTTCTGCTTCACAAACCATTTGAGGAAGTTAAATAACATCTATTTTATTTTTTAAACTTTTAAGGCAGACGAAACAGCCACGCTTTAATCTGATGTTTACAGAAGAGCAGATTTTTACCCAAAGAAAACTGGCTTGTCTAAAGCTTTCCATACCTGGGAAGTTACTTGTTGAATCTAAACAAAAGTGACACATTTGTATTTCTGAGTCCACGGAACACACATTTTATACAAAATACCAAAAACAGTACCTCTGACTTGTTAAAAAGACAATGCTACTATATTTACTCGTTTGGACACACTGTTTCCATCCAAAAGTCTGTAAAACCACCTTCAATCACCAACTTCTCACTCTGGACATATTCTACGAGGCTCACAGATCGGGTTCGAATCTGAAGTTTGAAAAGGTCTCTTTTCTCCAGCATCTTAGTCCACACGTAGGCAATCACAGCCCAGGTTTTTTTCTGAATGAAATCTAAGCACATCATCATAAAGAAAAACAAGTGTCCAATGTTAACATAATAGTGGAACCACTGGTTCACTTCGACTTCACCAGCTTTCCCGTTTTGTTGTTAAAATATAATCTAATTTAAAAAAACGATAGGGGGACGTGCTGCAATGCGATTCCTCACCTCAATCCCTACCGGCACTGCACCGAGAAGCAGAGAAGGCGGGCCCCGTAGGAACTCCCCCTCCACGTGTCTGCACTGTGGGTGCCAGCGGTCGCCATGCACCCAGCCCCTTCTCCGGGTGGGCAGGACACTAGTCACGCCACGTGTCGTTCTGTCCACGCCTCCAAGCAGCGCTAAGAAACCCATTACCACCTCCACTGACGGGCGAGAGGGCAAAGACCGAAAGGGGACACCAGGCGGCAAAGCGGTGGAGCCCGATGGCAGACCCAGGGCCAGGGCTGCCGTACTTCCAAGTTCACGCTCTTTACACGAAGCTGCACTGTTCTGAGTTTCTCAAAGTCCTACTCAAGTTTTGCTCAGGTCTCCCAAGCATTTGTTAACTTCTTCGCAACAAAGACAACTGATGGCAGTATCAGGCCTATCTACACTACACACTAATTCAGTCTTGTCAAGCGGGTGGGATGTACGAGGAGACTCAAATTCTTATCGCCCAGGGAATACCAGGAAATGTCCAGTTACCCGAGCTCCCAGGCACGTATCTCCCACACATAATTCACAAGCGCTAACACGGACCCTCAGCCGAAAGTTTTCCCTTATTAATCTTGGCGGTATTAGATACACATTCCACCCTACAATGCCTATTGAAACACAGTCATCTCAAGAGGAAAAAAAAAAAGAAGTCCCAGTACAAAAAGAGCCGAATATGTACATTAACTTATACTCATAGGCAACAACATTCTGCAAGGGAACTCCACAGATTCCTGCTCATCTCTCTTCCTCCAGGCCTTCCTCATTCCTGCCGCTCCATCGGCGCCGCCGGGACTAAGCGTCACCCGGCCAGTATCTTCTCCCACACAGGCGCTGTGCTGGAATCACTCCTGCAACCGAACCAGTCGGACAGCCGGCCTGCTGGCAAGGACGGTTCCCGGCCGTCCTCTCAAAGGCGCAAGAGGCGCCGCCTGCTCTCCTAACAACAGCCCCAAACTCAGGACAAGCCCTACCAGCTGAGACTGAGTCACCGCAACTCCTGCGCTCCCAACAGACTGCCGAGAAGGGCCCTCCGCTCTGATCTCTCCCCGCAACCATCCAAACAACCGTAATGTAATAACCACCCTGGCACTCCGTCACTGCTGAACAAAACAGCGCGCTGCAAATGGGCTCCCGGAGCCACTTGCCCCCGCCCAGACAGCCATGCCCCGGGCCTGGAATAAGCCCTGTCCCTTCCCTCCTCTCCACGCCCCACACCCTGTCTGTCAAGGGGGTCCACTTTCTTACAGATCCATCTTGTCCCCCAGCTCGAGACCCGAGCCCTGGACAGCAGAGACCGTCGCTGCCGGCTCCACACACGCGGGGCACTGCCGCAGACGAGAGGGAGCTGCCCTCGGCTTCCACCGCGCGGCAGCCACCAACTCGTCTCGGTCCCCGGGGGAACGAGTGAAACCCGCACCCGAGTGACAGGAGGCCAGCTGCGCACACCATGCAGGAGGGAGCCCGCGCCGGCGCTCCGGGTGCCGAGCGGCGACTGGATGGAGCCTCTCAATTGTGCTTTCTCCCAGAACCCACGGGGCTCGCCAAGTCCCACCCTTCGGGAAAGTGACAGGCTGCAGTTAACCCTTCGGCAGCCCCCACGGAGCAAGCCGCAGGGAAGCCCCAACCCCACAGGCGCTTTCCATGCGCGACGAGCCCAAGTTCGCCCTCCCCGAGCCCCGGCCGCGTCCAAGGCGGCCGCCGCCGCCCGCACGCGGGACGCCGCCAGGCCGGTCCCGGGCGGGGGAGGGGGGACCAGCGCGCTCGCCCCGCCCCGCCCCGCCGCGCGGGGGGTCCCCGACCGGGCCCCGGGCGGCGAGCGGGCCGGCGCTCACCGCGATGACATTGACGAAGGTGGTCTTGCCCGAGTACTGCAGCCCCACGAGCGTCAGCTCCATCTCCTCCTTCCAGAAGAGCGAGCGGAACCAGTCCAGCAGGCGGGAGATGAGCGCCAGCATGATGGCGGCCGGGACGCGGGGCGGACGCGCGGGCGGGCGGACGGCGGCGGCGGCTTCCACGCGAGCGGGCCTCGGCCCGGACCCCCCAACGGCTCCTCGGGCCCCGGCGCGACAGCGAACGCGGGCGGCGGCGGCAGCCGGGCCAGGAAGCCGTGCGGGTCATATGACTCTCCCTCCCCCGCACGCAGCGCCTGCGTGACGTCGGCGCCGCGGCAAGAGCGGCGAGGTCCGGGGACGAGGCGCGGCCGCCGCCCGCAGCGCCACCTGCTGGGGCCTCCGCGCCGCACCGCGGGCCGGGCCCTCCTCTGGGCTCCCTTCTCCTATGCACGCCCTCTTTCTTTGCTCGTTAGTGTTGCGTAGTCCTTCTTTCCACCGTTATTGCTGTTGTTGACGGAACGTCTCCTTCGTGCAGAAAAACTTCAAGACTCGAGGGTTCCGCATAAAAATCCTTGTCCTGCATTTGTGGCAATAGCGAAAAATGGAGGCCACAAATGGGGAACTAACTACATCAACTGTAGTATGTCTCAGAAAGGGAATACTATACAGCTGTCAAAAGGACGAAGTTCTCTGTAAACTGACATGGAATGATGTCCAGGGAATATTTTCAAGGGAGAGAAGCAAGGTGCAGCCTATGTATATGACAGTATTTTGGTGTGTGTCGGAAAATAAGAATATGTATGCACATATGTGCAAATATGTTTTGTATTTGCATAAAGAAATACTAGGAAACTATTAAAAATGGTTTCTTATGGGGTAGGGAAAACTGGGTAGCCAGAGGCAGGGATGGGCATGAGACTTCTCTAGATACCTTTCTGTATCATTTTTACTTCCAGCATCCCAATGGTTGTCTGTTCAAAAGTTTAACTTAATTAAGCCCTGGCTGGCATAGCTCAGTGGATTGAGCTCGGGCTGCGAACCAAATTGTCACAGGTTCGATTCCCAGTCAAGGTACATACCTGGGTTGCAGTCCATGACCCCCAGCAACCGCACATTGATGTTTCTCTCTCTCTCTCCTCCCTTCCCTCTCTAAAAATAAATAAATAAAATCTTTTAAAAAATTATTTTTAAAAGTTTAACTTAATTAGAAAATTGATAGAAAGTATCTGCAAGGCTTTCACATTTAAAAAAATCCCTGCCCTCATGGAGCTTACATTCTTGTGAGGAGACTTGTAACGTGAATACAGAGACGAAAGCTGATGGCCACACAGCGCTGGCTTTACAGAGACGCCGAGCCACCGGACGGGGGCGACCGCTGTTCTATGCGGGGTGGTCAGGCCGGACCTCTCCCTGGGGTGGAAGAAGTGAGAAGGAGAGCCAGGCGCACCTCTGGAGCAAGCACGTTCCAGACAGAAGGAACAGCAGAGACCTCCCGGGAGAAGGAGCCTGGAATGCTCTAGAAATAGGAATAGGAGGGCCTCTCGGGTGAAAGAGGTCGCGGGTGGGGGGGGCGTGGCTAGAGGAAGAGGGAGGCACCAGTGAAGGACGCCCCTTGGCCCGGCCTGGTGTTCCTCTTGCTGGGTTGGGAAGCCAGGAGCGTGGACCAGTTTATGTTTTCGGAAGTCCACTCGGGCAGCTCTCCACGGAGAGCTGGCTGTAGGAAGCGCTTCTGGGTCAGATTGTGTCCCTGTTAAATCAGTTGTTGCGGGCCTCGCCCCAGGACCTCCGAACTTGACCTTTTAGGAAATAGGGCCGTTGCGGATGTAACCAGGCAGGGTGGTCACACTGCAGGAGGGTGGGCCCTCCATCCAAAATGCCTGGTGTCCTCGGAAGAAGAGAAGAGGTGCCCACTCAGGACAGGAAAGGGCCAGGTGACCACAGAGGCAGAGCCGATTGGGAGGGTTTGCCAGGAAACCACCGGGAGCCGGGGGTCAGGCACAGGACAGACTCTCTCGCAGCCTCGGAGGGAATCAACCCGGCCAACACCTTGACCTTGGAGGCCTAGCCCCCAGGACTCGGAGACCATAAATCTGGATGGTTTTCGGCCACCCAGTTGGTGGGCCTTGGTTACAGCAGCCCTGGCAAAGGAAGACGGACAGAAGGAGCAGAAGCGGTGAAGGGGGAGTTTAAGGAAGTTAGGTTGTGTTGGTTTAAGGAAGTGACGACTGAGGCTGGGACCATGACCTTGTAGGCGCGTAGGGGTCAGCTGTCACAGAGCTTCCATTCTCAGCGGAAAGTCTGACAGCCGGGAAACACACAAAGTAGCTAATTGCAAAATGACAAAGTGAATACTCCTCGGCCTTCCCAATGGTCGTGATTTCCTTCACCTCTGACGTCATTGCTTAAGGGAAAAGTCACCTGGAGCTCCAGATTCTAGTTCCCCATTTAAAACACTTTGTAAATTAATTTTTTATCGTAAAAAAAAATTGTAAAAATTTAAACAATTCAGAGGTGGGATTAGAAAAAAGTCGCCTGTCTCCTGGCACCCGCCACCCCCATGTCTGAACTATTAACCCAATTTAATAGCTGTCTCTTTTCTGACCAAACAGGCACTTACATTAATGTGTGAGGTGGGGCGTTTTCATGTACATACAAGAATAAGAACACGTAGGAATTACTCTACAGCTTGCTTTTTCACTTACCGATAAAGATATTTTACTAAAAATAAAGGCAAGAAACACTCAAATCCCCTGTATCCTAATTATTTTACCACTAATTTTCTCATTGTTTTTTATTGTTCTCTATAAAGCCATTTCTGGGTACCGTACCTTTTTGCTAGAAACCCCAGAGGATGGAGGGCGAGCCGCTGACCCTCCCCTCCCAACTCCGTATTTGTCAGCGTCACCATTAGTAGCTTGAAATCGGCCACAGTGGGAAGAAGAACACCATGGGAACTGGCAGACACCCCACACCAGCACCCTCTTCCCCAGCAAGCTGGTGGTCAGGTGTGTCCCAGCACACCGCTGACAGTCCTGGACTCCGGGCATTATGAACTCAAGGAACCAATTAGGGAGTTCTTTTTTTTTTTAAGAGAAACACCAACTTTATTCTGAAACAGAGCTAGTCAGCCCCATCTTAAGAAAAAGATACATTTGAAGGAAAGTTTAAGAAAGAAGAAAAAAATCAAAGGCAGAATACAGATATTCAGTGCAGCGGGGGCTGGGGCCAAGAGCTCTCTGCTGGGAGGAAAGGTCGTAACTTGCACAGAAAGCTCCTGTCCCGGCTGCAGCGTGGAGGCAGCGCGACCTCCCACCGGCCGGCCGCTTCCCCTCTCCCGGCTCCAGTCTCCTCGTCTCACCGGTAAAGCGTTGGGATAAGATGAGACTCAGGGAACTCTTCTATCCGAAACCTTCTGATTTCAGAGCAGCCGGACCGAAATGTTCAGGAACAATCCCAGCACAAGAAAGGAAATAATTCTTTATTTTAAAATAGCCTTTATTTTTACAGGGGAGTTCAAGGTTCACAGAAAATTGAACAGACAGCACAGAGAGTTCCCATAACCCTCTCCCCCCCCCACAGATCCTCTTACATTTGCTCCATTTGTTCCAATGCATGAACCGATATTGCTACGTTATTATTAACGCGAGTCCATGATTTCCATCAGGATTCACTCTTTGGGTCGGGCATTCTCTGGGTTTTGACAAATGCATGATGCCGTTATCCACCCTTGCTGTGTCATTCAGGACAGGGCACACAGCACACTCTAAAAGCCCCCTGCGCTCCTCTGACCATTCATCTCTGAGACAATTTTTTCAACTTCAGTAGTCCATGATTTTCAATATTTAAAAGAAACAAAGAAACAAATAGCACAAACATAACTAAGCAAAGAGTCATCAATGGAACTCAGGAACATCCACACGACCATTTGACAGAGGAGAAAAGGGTCCAAAAGGATGTGTGTGTGTGTTTGTTGGAGCAGCCTGATCCAGCCAGTCCTGAAGCTGTTATTCTGAAATTTTTCGACTGTATAAGACAACCAAGCTCTCTCTCCTTCTTCTTCTTTTTTTTAATATTTTATTTATTTATTTTTAGAGAGGGAAGGGAAGGAGAAAGAGAGAGAGAGAGAAACATCAATGTGCGGTTGTTGGGAGCTGTGGCCTGCAACCCAGGCATGTACCCTGACTGGGAATCAAACCTGCGACACTTTGATTCGCAGCTCGAGCTCAATCCGCTGAGCTATGCCAGCCAGGGCGCTTCTTAAGCCAGCTGGATCTGAGTTTCTGTCGTATGCTTGGGTGAGAATCCGGTCTAAAATGGATTCGAGAAATCAAAACAACAGAAAAGTCCATCTATGAAAGGAACGAGGAAAGGCAGTGAAACAAAAGAAAATGATACAAAGTAGAGGCGATGACAGACAAAGGGAGGAACACAGAGGCACAGGTGAGAAACCTCACTCTGTACAGGGGGTCGCTGCGTCACCCAGGGCCCGCCGCCCCAGGGGAGGGGGGGGCCGAGGGCTGGCCAGCCAGTGCGTGGGGCGATGGAAAAGCAGGCCTTTTGGAATCGGCGGGGTGTGCAGCCCAGTCTCTCGGCCTGACTTCCGGCAGAGCACTTCCCCTCTCCGAGCCTAAAATGGGGACAACAACATTTCCCTGTTAGGGTTGTCACCAGAGTCAAATGCAACACTAGGACAAGGTTTCTTAGCCCAGGGCGCTGTCCACAGAAGGTGCTCACCAGACGGTACTGCTCTCACTTCTGACACCCCAAGTTCTGGCGGTCCCGTGGAAATCCTCACCCCACCGGGAGGCCTCCCAGGCCAGCAGACAGCCCGACTCCAGCTGTCTCCAGCGGGTGACCTGCATCTGGCCTCCTAGAAACGCAAACCGTACTGTGTCCCCACCAACTGTGGGGATGAGGCTGCCTCCGCGTGGTGATGCATTTTTCCTCTGCGGTCCGAACGGCTGGCCAGCCCCACGTTTTAGATCCCTGAGGCAGGAGCCCACCGGGACCCCCGCCTCGCTAACAGGTCCCTTCCAAGCCCCTTCCCCTCCGTTTAAGATGACAGGTAGGCACCCACACACATCCCCTTGTGGGGGGTGGGGGAGCCGCCCCACTCATGGGCAGCCCTCTGCAAACACCATCTTTTTCTTTAACTCCCCTGCTGGGTCCCTCCGCTGCCCTCAGTGGGGGCGAAGCCTTCGGCCCCGAAAAGCCTCTGTACTTTGCAAGCCCTGCCGGGGGTCACGTCGACGTGCGACATCTATTATTCGGCACTTCAGCCAAAAGTAGGACGGGTTGGTTTCACGGAA